CCCATGGACACAGTCAATAACGGGGTGAAGGCCTGGGAAGGGGGTGGGAGTGAGGTGGAGGGGGTCAATTGGGGGGGGAAATGGGACACCTGTAATACTCTCAACAATAAAGATAAATTTAAAAAACAAAAAAACAAAAAACAAACAAGAAATAGATCTTGGACAAAATATAATTGTATTGCATGGCTTGACTTATAGGATAAAGGGGAATCTCTAAGGTTCTGCACCCCACTTTAAAAGTGGCGTACACACATAAAAGCACCGAAATGGGAGCTGAAGCCTCAGCGGGGAGTAGTACTTGATTGCCCTAATGTAGCTTGCAGACTGCTGGCAGTAGGCATACAATTGACAAGCAAAGAAAATGTATAGTAAGTGAGATGACAGTAAGTACTATGGAGAAAAAGTTAGCAAGGCAAGGGGAAAGAGGGTCACAATTTATGTCGGTTGGTGGGGGAACGTTTCACTGAGGCTGAGAGATTTGAAGAAAGACCTGAAAGAAGTGAGAAAACCAGTGATGAAAATGATTGCAAGAAAAGCATTCCAGACAGGGCAGCCTGCAGGTGTACAGTTCCAGAAACAAAGAAAATGCCAAGGGACAGCAAAAGGCCAGCGGGACAGGAGCAGAAAGAGCGAGGGGGACAGACGTCAGGGAGCAGATCAGAGAGTAAATGAGGCCACTGAAGGGCCCTGGCTCTTATTTAGAATGGAACGGGATGGGTTTGAGCAGAGAAACGACATGATACGGTTTTAGATTTCTAAAACTCCCACCGTCTGCTGTGTGGAGAAAAGGCCGAGGCGCATGGGTGACCAGCCCGGTGCTCACTGCAGTCATGCCAGTGGAAAACGATGAACCAGCGCGCTTGCGAGGTGGAGAGAAGTAATCAGACTTGATATATTTTGAAGTTAGATCTAGCGAGTTTTAATGGTAGATTAGATATGGTGTGTGAGGCAAACAGGAGAGCCCAGGATGACTCCAAGGTTTGGGGGAGATGACGTTTTAAAGGAATTTGACTATGGAGAAATGAGGGATGGCTCAATAACAAGACAGGCACAAGAGGTCAAAAGTAACTTTTAAAATGTTTTTATTCCATTGTAACGTAGAAACAAGAGGACATGTCCTATATGCACAGCACCAGCATCCAGACCAAGGAAAAGAACATTTCCAGAAACCACAGGCCTTCTGGTTCCCTTCCAATTATTAACTCCAAGGGTGACCACACCCCTGATTCTAACACCATATATTAGTTTTGCTTGTGTTTAAACTGTATTTTATGTAAATGCATTTATACAGTATGTACTCTCTCATACATAGTGTTTGTTCCCCGATCATTGTTTTGTGGCTTTACCCATGTGGCCGCATGAATTGTGGTGTGTTCATTCACAGTGCTGCATACTACTCCATTGTTTAAATATACCACCCTTTTTATGTTTCTTCTGCTGTTTAGTTGAATAGTTTTCCTTTGGGGGCTCGTATGTGTATGACTTCTGTGACCATTTTTGTACATGTCATTTAGAAAACACCTAAGTGCACGTCTGTTGCATGTTCCCCTCTGGGACAGAACCCAAGACCTAGACCCAGGGGCAGTATTAGGAATGTCTTTATTAGGTCAGTCATGTTGTTTACTCCAATACAGTAATTAAGCTGATGTTATTTCTATATGTCTAGTTTCTTATTTGGTCCAGAACTTAGATGGGAGAGAGCATTGTGATTAATTCTAATCTTTGAATCCACATATTTTAGAATAAAGTCATTAAATGAGACAGAACGTTGAGCTATATTTAATTGACAGAAATGTAATTAATTCAATTGACAGAAATGGAGCCATATATTTTTAAAGTATTTTTAATAAAAATGTTCTTGCAAACCTAACACCTATTATTTAAGCAATATGCATGTGAAAATAATACAGAAACAGAGCCTGTACAGCCACATGACTTAGCCAATTTGCATTAGCACAAGACTGCGCCTTTTCTCTCCTTGTTTATGAATAGACAATCACTTCCTGTTTAGTTTACCCCAAAACATAGAAATTTTATGGCCACTTTAGAAGACAGGCTAGTAAAATTTTACTGACCTGAGCTTTGGGGAAATTGTTTTTAAGAGCAACTAAAAAATTACTCATAGAGACAAAATACGAAACAAAAGCTATTTTTTAAGTTTCTTTCAGAGTGTAAAGTAGCTGAAACTTCAGGAAAGTCTCATCACACTTTCCCAGGAGCACTGGGTTTCTCTTTACTTTTTCCTCTAAGTCTAACAGTTACACATATCCATGGCCTTGAAGAAGTCTTTGACACGTTTGATATGGTCTTGTGACTGAGGCAAGGAAAATGAACTCTAGGAAAGATAAAATTTGTTAACAGTTTTTAAACTCAAATTTTGGAGGTTTTTAAATATATACTTATACTGCATTCCCCCCAAATGTTGTAGAGTAGGAGCTCTCCCAACTTTCCAATAATATATGATTGCATCAGTTAGTTCAAACAAATGCCATTCTCCAATCTGCTAATTATGTTGCCATTTTCAGATAAGATCATAACTGAGTCATAATTTATTCAGTCCCTTTAAATATTTCTCTCTCTCTTTTTCCTACTACAGCTTTTAAAGAAAAGAGTATTTTAAATGTGTAATGTCAAGACCTAAGAAGAAATAAGGGCGATCACAGGAAAGCCTAAGCAGAACAGAGATGTCCTAGTAAAATCTCATCACATCAGCCAGGGAGGGACCTGTGCTAGGGAGTCGGGTGGCTGTTCATGGCAAGACTGAGGAGATGCAAGTTCTCGACCTCAGCCCATTAGTCTGTATTATTCATTCTCCACGTGACTTACCCAAGCCGTGATTCTTTTATAAGACACTGAGACACGTGATCTCTAAAGTCATCTAGCTTCACATTAAGCAATTCTCTAACTGGTTTGCCACTCAGTGGGCACCGACTGATCTCAGATGGCCTGAGCGTCATCATGAAGGCCCCGCGCCCATTACTCCAACTCTTTTCTCACCGTAAAACCTGCCTTCCACATGCATCCAGTGACCTGGATCATCCTAGCTCAAATCTAGGGACCCAGCAAGCATCGTGTGACATGTCGGAGTACTCACCCCAGGGTTGCTGGAGCAGACCCGTCTCCACCAAAAGACAGAAGCGTAGGCGGCCAGGAGGAGCTCCAGCGCCGAGAAGATGAGCATCACCGCCAGCACGGCCTGCACAGCAGCACAGGGAGGGCGCCGCGTGAGCGGGGCGAGCCGGCCCCGGGCCTCACTGAGAGGCGGCCGGGGGCGAAGGCTCCCGACATGGACAGAACGAGGGACAGGGAGAGTCGTTCCCTTCTCCCTCCGGCTTTCTCTTCTGGATCGCTTAGCAGAAGAAGGGAAATAAGCAGCAGCGGTGTCACCTCAGAGACGGTCATGCTCAGTGACATAAGCAGGCAGGGAAAGGCAAGAACCACAGGATCTCACTGACGTGTGGGCCCTAATGAGCAAGATGAACAGCCGTAACGAATGGAGACAGACTGACA